CGATATAAGATCGAGAGCTCATTTGGACGAACGCTTAATATAAGACTAAGCGCTACCTATAACGAACGCCGGATTATAGAACCGAGTGTTATTAATATAACTTCAATTAATTTCGCTCGTTGGATACCACTAGGCTGAGCCGAACGCTCAAACCTAGCCTTTCACAAGAGGACGCTCGTTCTTAAGCAGAATCCTTTCCAAATGAAAGAACTCTTATTCTAAGTCATTTTCAGGGGAAAACCGAACGGTAGAAGATCGTTCGATGACGAGCGTGCATTATCAAAGTAAGGACTATTATATTTTCCAGATTTTTCATCTACAATAACTTCACATTTTTCATACGATTCACATCTTATAACTTATCTCCACCATAAATCTCATACATTACAGAATTCATATTATCATCTCATACCTTACAGAAATTATCCATTTTCCAATTCATACGTTTCATCCTCAACATACAGTTCATACAATATCACTCATACACAACCAGTACAACAGGGCTCGTTCATGCATACTTAAACATCATACATTTCATACATCCAGTACACTTCATGCTTTCACACACATCATACAAGTATCAATTAAATTCCTAAAGCTTCCCTTACCTGGTTCAGTAGTGAACGCCCTAAGCGAATGTTGTTTAACTTGTCCAAATACAGTTTCCTACCCTCAACGTGCTTCTCAAGTGTTTCACTAAATCTAACCACAAGAAATGTAGAAGAACTTAGCTTATACTCTAACATGCAGCTGTACCAGGGTTTGAGAACTTACTGGTCACATAACTCTAAAGCGTTCGGTTCCAGTGAAAGCTCACGACGCCGTGAATGGTCCTACGGTTTCTGAAATGGGATCGGAGGAGATGATGATGAGTTACAGTAGAGAGAAGATGAAAGGGTTCTAGAGAGAAGGAGGAGAGAATGGGGTCTGAGTTTGGAGGAAGAAGATGAGTGCAGGAGAGAGGAAGGGTTTTTCCAAAAAATTCTTTTTGTTTCTTCCCACATCCGCACGAACGTGCGTCTCTCCCGGTGACACCTGTATCCCCATTTCTGACTCCCATTCTTTCTCGGTGACACTTGGCAGTGAGTGGCAGAGTTATGAAAGTGCGTTTTTAATGCATTGCAGAAGGGTTTTCCATTCATAAATTTTGATTTGACAACGTGTTTATCAGAATTAATTTTCTAGGGTCCCACATTCCCCCTAACTACAAAAATTTTCGTCCTCGAAAATTAAAGCTTACCCGGAAACAGATGAGGATATAACTCCTTCATAGCGTCTTCAACCTCCCATGTTGAGTCGCTAGTCTTCGCGTCCCAAACCATTTTCACTAAACGAACGTTCTTTCCCCTGTAGAACTTGGTGCGACTATCTTCCACACGTACGGGTTGCATCTCCAACGTCCGGTCTGGGCGAAGTTGGACGTCTTCCAACTCCAGGATGTGTGAGGGATCAGTTATATACTTCCGGAGTTGGGAAACGTGGAAGACTGGGTGCAGGTTGGACAGTTGAGGAGGTAAAGATAATTCGTACGCCACTGGTCCGATCTTCTTCAGAATTTGGTATGGTCCTAAGAATTTGGGAGACAGCTTCTTCGGACGAACGACTCTTCCCACTCCAGTGATTGGATTAAGCCTAAGAAAAACGTGGTCTCTTGCAGCGAACTCTAATGGTCTTCTTCTCTTATCAGTATAAGATTTCTGCCTGCTTTGAGACGTCTTCAATCGCTCCTGGATCAACTTCACCTTCTCGGTCGTTTGTTGGATCAGTTTCGGACCGGTTAGCACGTTCTCTCCTTCCTGAAACCAACAAAGTGGCGTTCGACATTTCCTTCCATAGAGAGCTTCAAACGGTGCCATTCCTATGCTTGCTTGAAAACTGTTGTTATACGTGAATTCTACGAGCGGCAGGACTTCATCCCATACTCCCATATGATCTAGGACGCACGTCCTCAATAAGTCCTCGAGCGTCTGGATGGTTCGCTCAGATTGGCCGTCCGTCTGAGGGTGATAGGCCGAACTCATCTGCAACTTGCTCCCCAATTCTCCTTGTAACGATTGCCAAAAACGAGAGGTGAATCTCGTGTCTCGGTCTGAAATGATGCTCGAAGGAACTCCATGCAACCGAACGATCTCCTTAATATACAACTTGGCCAAGTTTGTCATTGACATCTTCAAGTTGACGGCTAGGAAGTGGGCGCTCTTCGTTAATCTATCCACAATCACCCAAATTGAATCATGGTTTCGGACCGTGCGTGGCAGATGGGTCACGAAATCCATGGAGATGCTGTCCCACTTCCATTCTAGAATCTCCAATGGCTGCAGCAACCCGCCTGGTCTTTGGTGTTCAGCCTTTGCTCGCTGGCAAGTCAAACAGGACGACACAAAACGTGCAATGTCACTTTTCATTCCCGGCCACCAGAATGATAAACGGAGGTCTTGATACATCTTAGTCATGCCAGGATGCATGCTAAGACGGCTGTGATGCCCTTCCTCCAATATAATCCTCTTCAGCTCACCATCGTTTGGAACGCACGTTCTCCCCATATAGCGAAGTAAACCGTCCGTTCCAGTATTGAATCCCTTAGTCTGATCTGTACCGAGCGTACTTAATATCTTTGTCAATTCTTCGTCCTCACGTTGCTTCATTCTGATTCGGTCGAACACATCACTGGAAATTCTAAGGTTACAGCATCTAATAACGTTCGCTCCTAAGTCGAACTGTAACCTTAGATCTCTAAAACTTTCCACCAAGCTCAGCTCTTTCACCATCATTGCCGAGACCCTGACCGCTTTCCTACTCAAGGCGTCCGCCACCACGTTAGCTTTTCCAGGATGATACAACAGTTCGAACTCATAATCTTTCAAGAATTCAAGCCACCTCCTTTGTCTCATATTCAACTCCTTTTGATCAAAGAGGTACTTGAGACTCTTGTGATCACTAAAGACTTGAAACGTTGCTCCATACAGGTAATGCCTCCAAATCTTTAGTGCAAACACAACTGCTGCCAACTCTAAGTCGTGTGTGGGGTAATTCTTCTCGTGGACCTTCAACTGCTTAGAAGCGTACGCCACTACCCTCCTTTCCTGCATCAGTACGCAGCCCAAACCTTGATACGACGCATCACAAAACACTTCAAAAGGTTTGGCCGTGTCTGGAATGACCAACACTGGGGCGCTCGTTAATTTCCTCTTCAATTCCTGGAAGCTCTCCTCACACCGATCGGTCCAGGCGAACGGTTGATCCTTCCTGGTGAGATGAGTCAGCGGAGCTACTATCTTGGAGAATCCCTCAATGAACCGTCTATAGTAGCCCGCGAGCCCTACGAAACTTCTAACCTCTGTGACCGAACGTGGACTCTCCCAATCCAGGACTGTTTTCACCTTGGCTGGATCCACTGAAATACCTCCAGCAGAAACGACGTGCCCCAAAAACTGGATTTCCTTCATCCAGAATTCACACTTTGACCGCTTGGCATACAATTCTTTCTCCCTCAACACGCTCAACACGATCCTCAAGTGGTCTTCATGTTCGTCAAAACTCTTGGAATAAATGAGGATGTCGTCAATAAACACCACTACGAACTTATCCAGGTACGGTCTAAAAATCCGGTTCATATAATCCATGAAGATTGCAGGTGCGTTCGTCACTCCGAAAGGCATCACCACATATTCATAGTGTCCATAACGGGACCGAAAAGTAGTCTTCTGAATGTCTTCTTCCTTCACTCTAATTTGGTGATAGCCCGAACGTAAATCAATCTTTGAAAACACGCACGCACCTTGCAACTGATCCAGTAGGTCGTCAATCCTTGGCAGTGGATACTTGTTCTTGATGGTCAGCTTATTAAGTTGCCTATAATCAATGCAGAGCCGAGAGCTGCCATCCTTCTTCTTTACCAACAACACAGGCGCTCCCCAAGGTGAAGCGCTCGGCCGGATGAACTTCTTATCCATCAACTCCTCGATTTGCTTCTTGAGCTCGACCAACTCGGCTAGAGCCATCCTATAAGGTTGAACCGAGATGGGTGCGACCGTTGTTACGAGGTCGATCGTGAATTCAACCTCACGAACGGGAGGTAGACCAGGGACTTCTTCCGGAAAGACATCCGGGAATTCATCCACTACCGTTCGTCCTCCACTGCTTCCAGTGTTGGACGAACGCTCCACTTTCGCTTCCCTCACTTCTTTGTCTTCATATGTCATTATTAGAAAACAACTCGCTCCTTCCATGATGTCTATCTTCAACTGACCGAGCGTGACTGATAATTCCTCCTCTTCCTCACTCGGAAAGACTATCTCCTTCGTCCCACAATCAATGAGAATCCGATTGGTAGCCAACCAATCCATCCCCAAAATTACTTCTAAGTGTTGAAGGGGTAAACAAATGAGGTTAACCTTAAATCTACGCCCCTCAACTTCTATAGGACATCTCACACAAACTGTAGATGTCTTAATCCCACCAGCCGCTGGGGTTGACACCACCAAGTCGAACTGTAATTCGCTCTCCACTAGTCCCAGTTTCTCAACGCACGCCTTCGAGATGAAGGAATGAGTTGCCCCCGAGTCATACAACACACAGCAAGGCTTTCCCAATAACATGCAAGTGCTGGTGATGAGTGTACCTGAACGAGCAGCTTCAGCACCCGTGATTGCATACACTCTTCCCACTGCCTGCGCTCGTCCACCTCTTCCTTGCTGCGTTCTTCCAGCGTTCGGCGGCCTCATTGCCGCTCGTCCTCCCATATTACACTCCTGATCTGAGTGTCTGCTCCTTCTACACTTGTTGCAATATTTTCCCCCAGACAGTTGAGCACAGGCCCACCGATAGTGCGGTCCTCCACACTGATAACACGTCAAGCTCCTTGGCTGTCCAGATTGGCCGACAGTGACCAAGGCTTGTGATCCGCCAGGGGATTGAGTTGGACGAACGTACGGGGGTCTTCTTACGTTCGCATTATTTCTGGCTAAAACCGGCCCCCTACTCACTTGTTGTTTCTTCTGTTACTCGGCCTCAGCAACGTTCTTCTCCAGTACCTTTGCTCTCTCAACCATAACAGGGAAGGATCTAATACACAGACTGGATATCAACACTTTCAAGTCACTCCTCAGTCCGTTCTCAAACTTCCTGCATTGCCATTCTTCACTTGTTGCCATGGTATTAAAACGGACCAGGTGCTTGAATTTGTTGGTGTACTCCGAGACGGACATTCCCCCTTGTATCAACTGTAGAAACTCAACTTCCTTAACAAAGCGCACGCTGTCCGAGAAATACTCTTCATAGAATTTAGCTCTGAAAACCTCCCAAGTAATGGGACTCTGAGCGTCCGTCAAGATGGCTTTCATGCTCGTCCACCAGTGACTTGCTTCACCAGTCAGCAAGTATTCAGTGTACGCCAAACGGTTGTCATCTGGACATCTTTTGGCGTTGTAAATTCTTTCCATATCTCTCAACCACTGGTCCGCTTCATCCGGGAGACCTTTTCCATTGAATTTGGCAGGGTGGTGTTGTAGGAAGCTCTCCAAACTCCATTCAGCAGCAGGCTGGGCAGCGTTGGAAGATGACGCCCCTACCGTGCCCCTGGTAGCGGCAAGGATATCCATCACTTGCCTCTGCGTGGCTTCCGAGTTGGTGCGAGCGGCCTCCATACTCTGCATAGCATTCTGGTTTTGCTGCATCAGAGTGGCGTTCTGTTCCATCAGAGTATGATTCTGCTGTTGTAACCTATCTATCACTGATTCCAACAGCCTAGTGTTCTTGGACGCGTCAGCCTCATTAGGTTGAGGTGGTGGAGGGAGTCTAGGTGCCATTTGTTCTCTGGAACAGAGAAAAACGAGCGTTAGTCATGTTCAAAGAGTTAGAAAAAAAAAATTAACTCATTAAACACATATTTAGCACACAGCAAAAACACAGTGCACTCATAACCTACAGTGTTCCTTAAAAGAACAAAACTGCTCTGATACCACAAATGTAACATCCCAAAATACAGTAATAACCATAATCAGAATTTAATTACATTTAACAGTAAGACAGTGCAGTCTTTACACTAATAAAACTTAATAAAGCCGAACGGCTTAAGTACAGAGTTAAATACAACACAGCGGTATCTCAATATTCAGAGACGAACGGTTTTACAAACATTAACCGAACGTTCAAAAGCTAAACAGTATATACTACGGACTAGCACTTAACGAGCGCTCTATGGCTCGGCTTTAACCTCTACATCAACCAGATTGGCGTCGTCCAAATTTTCTTCTTCCAGCGTTTCCTCAAGCAACGCCTCTCCGTCTGCTCACATCCACACGGATGATCATTGCATTGACAAGACGGACGTACATAACCAGTAGACAACACAAGGAATTGCAAGGGTAAGCTTAGGTAATTTAATTCATACAACCAATATAAAATTTAACATATGCAATTAACATACAAGACATATAACAATATATCAAAGCATATAATAAATCATCCAAACTCTCACAAGACCGACCGTCCGGACTGTATGAATCCATGTATCTACAGGCGTTCGTGCACTCGGGTGATGTGATAACTGCAAACACTCAAACAGCTGCCACCCGAGGTTAGCCCTATCAGTCCAAAGTACTCAGTAGGACTAGGACCTCCTGCCATTCCCACACATGACCTACTCCCCTCTACATGAGGACGAGCACTCACGGAATATCAGGATGAACAGCCATCAGCAGCTTTACCATGGTCATACTACATAACTTCTCATATTCAAATCATAGAGACGTTCCTCCTTGGAACGCTCGTTCAAATTCCATAATCATAGTTTCATCTATTACACTGTTCGCACGTTATAATACTTCCTCTTATTCACATTTCTGTTATTTGTTCCACTTCCATAAAATGACGAGCGTTCATCCTTTTCATAATAAGGACGAACGTTATTATAGTACGGAGAAATCCTCGTTTCTGAACAAAAGAAACGAACTCCTGTCCACTGACGGACGTTACGAATACTTAAACTCAGTCAAAGGAACTGACTCTAGAAACTCTGAATAATACTTAGAAAAATTTAAGTACAATGACTCTAGATCGAATCAAATGGATAGATACATCACAAATTATTTAGATAAATGAGCCGAGCGTGATTTAATTCAGGATACACCACCGCCAGTCAATGACCGAACGTCAACTAATAATTTTGGACGAACGCTATTTACGTTCGTTCGGGAATCAAATGTAAGGACGAGCGTTCAGTATAAAACCGAACACTACTTAGGACGAACGCTAGGTAGATGACCGAGCACTAACTAGAACGAACGCTCGATATAAGATCGAGAGCTCATTTGGACGAACGCTTAATATAAGACTAAGCGCTACCTATAACGAACGCCGGATTATAGAACCGAGCGTTACTAATATAACTTCAATTAATTTCGCTCGTTGGATACCACTAGGCTGAGCCGAACGCTCAAACCTAGCCTTTCACAAGAGGACGCTCGTTCTTAAGCAGAATCCTTTCCAAATGAAAGAACTCCTATTCTAAGTCATTTTCAGGGGAAAACCGAACGGTAGAAGACCGTTCGATGACGAGCGTGCATTATCAAAGTAAGGACTATTATATTTTCCAGATTTTTCATCTACAATAACTTCACATTTTTCATACGATTCACATCTTATAACTTATCTCCACCATAAATCTCATACATTACAGAATTCATATTATCATCTAATACCTTACAGAAATTATCCATTTTCCAATTCATACGTTTCATCCTCAACATACAGTTCATACAATATCACTCATACACAACCAGTACAACAGGGCTCGTTCATGCATACTTAAACATCATACATTTCATACATCCAGTACACTTCATGCTTTCACACACATCATACAAGTATCAATTAAATTACTAAAGCTTCCCTTACCTGGTTCAGCAGTGAACGCCCTAAGCGAATGCTTTTTAACTTGTCCAAATACAGTTTCCTACCCTCAACGTGCTTCTCAAGTGTTTCACTAAATCTAACCACAAGAAACGTAGAAGAACTTAGCTTATACTCTAACATGCAGCTGTACCAGGGTTCGCATGCAACTCAGAAGAGGGTGTTTAGAGTTTGAGAACTTACCGGTCACAGAACTCTAAAGCGTTCGGTTCCAGTGAAAGCTCACGACGCCGTGAATGGTCCTACGGTTTCTGAAATGGGATCGGAGGAGATGGTGGTGAATTACGGTGGAGAGAAGTTGAAGTGGTTTTAGAGAGAAGGCAGAGAATTTGAAATCAGTATTTCGGGGAAGAAGATGAAACATGCAAGAGAGTGGAGAAGAGTTTTTTTTCAGAGAAATTATTTTCCCTTCCCACGCAGGACGAACGCCCATTCTCCGCATGCCACTTGTCTTCCACTAACGTTTTTAGAATGTTCCAGCCGTGACACTTGGCAATCGCATGCAGAGTGGGTGTGAGTGTGTTTTGACGTGGCACGGTGCATTTAATGGTGATCAGAGTGTGGGATTAGGTGCGTTAATTATTTAGGGTCTCACAATACTAATCTTATTTAGTTTTAATATTTTATTTATTAAGTTAGTATAAGCTAAAAAATTTAAAAATGACAAATTTTTTTATTTATAATTTTCTTCATTTTTTATATATATCTCATCATACTCATCTTTTCGGTTGATATTCATAAATTTTTATCACAAAGATCACTTTCATCCACACTTATCTTCTTAATTCATATTCATCTCTTTCGTCCATACATTTTTGTCTATATTCTTTTCTCATCTCCTTCATCCACATTCTTCTCATTTTCTTCTTTATTCATACTGTGACCTATCCATTATCTTCATTTACTAATTATGCATTTAATCTATTATAATTATTTATTAATTTTTTGTTTATATTATTTAAACACGAAGGTACATTATGATTTTTTTAAGTTATTATTATTAGCATAGATTAAGTTAATGCAAAAAATTTAAAATAAAAACGTCTTATAATCTATCAAATTGATGCTAAATTGTTTTAATTAAATAATTAATAATGACATGTATCTATTAAGCCAATGCTAACTAGAATTAGTTTTAAAAAAATAACACTAATAAATGAACGTTCATTATTTTAGTGTTTTGTATACATGCGATACAAAACTAAAGTATTTAGTATAGGCTTTTGACCCATGTTAAATACACTTTTCTTTTTCACCAACCACTCTTATCTTTCATTTCCTTCCACCCAAAATGATTTTCATTTACACCTATGACCCTAAATAACGTTGTCGTTTTATCTCAACATCAAAAAGTTGTGAATTTAAACTAAAAATATTTGTAACAAATATAATGTTGACTATTCAATATCACGGTCATGTCAACACGTTAGCAAAAAGATCAAATCAAACGGTAAGAATCTTTAAAAAAAGTACTAAAAAACTAAAAGTATTTTTTCGGTATTAATTTTTAAGAAAATCAAATATCTCAACAAACACTTTAAAATAAAAAAAAAATGTTTAATTTGACATTTACAACGAAAATTGAATTCATGTGAGTCTTTTTCTTTTCTGCTGGACCAATTTTTATCAGAAACAATTTTACCTTTATTTTCACTAAGTAACAATGAATAATGTATTTTACATTGTCTAACTCATCTAAACTAGTCACCTCCGACGTTATCTCTTCGCGTCTCATCAATAATTAAATTCTAATGTTAATCACATGCTTACGAGCTAAATGGTATAGAAAATTAAGCTATAGTTGTAACATCAACAAATTAATAATTAGAGAATGAATAATGTCTTTTATTATTTATTTTTGAAGTCGGTCTATAATGATATTATTAGGTCAGTTACTCTTTATTTAAGGTATTATTTACTTTGTGGTATATATTCTGTTATAATTTTGTTTTCAAAAAGTGTTTCGAAAAATTAAAAAAAAAATAAATGTTTTAAATTTTAATTTCTAAATAATACAAAAGTATTAAACGTAATAAAAAAAAATCTCTATTCATGAATTTTATCCGTTTATAAATAATTTCACTATATGATATTCTCTAGCATATTGGACTTCCGTATGTAATGTAATGTGTTAAAAAAAGTACATTCTAGTTCATTAACTTGATTATCATAATACCAAATTAATATGTTGGTTATCCAATTAGTTTAGCTGACGTGAACCACTTCACCATCTCATCATAATCATAAATAACACTACATTCCTTTCCAACTTCACCACTGCAATGATCCTTCTTTTATATAGTTCCAGTATAATAAATAAAATATTTTTTAACACAAATATATTTTGTTTATGTGGTGAGAAATTCATCTCGAACCATCGCAAGCAATGCACCGACCATCAAAAGCATATCCAGATCGCTATAATGTAGAACCCATAATGCAGTTGTTAAGAGGTTACTGTCACATGATTGTATAAGCACAACAACAGCCTTTATACAAATGGAAGATGGTGAAAGACGAAAAAGGAAAAAATATATAAATATTGATCGGGTTTTGTTAAATTCTGAGTCTACCTTGCCTTCAATTATCAGTAAAGAATGTGAAGGCAACTTGGGTGAGAATGTTGTCTGCATAATGTTGTCGTGGTTAACAGAATCTACCAATATGCAATGGCAGTAACATTTGGTACAAGCAATTGGAGTTGTTATTTATTTGCATTTTGGAACAAAATACACTTTACATGAGTTGGTGTGAAGTGTACAATTGAACCACTTTTAAGGTTTTAAGGAACATAAATGTGGCATGTTTGATTTCAGTATTTCCAAAATAAAAAACCAGCTTATTCTATGAGAATGCGGGTGTTACCAAAACAGGATCCACATTAAATATAATTCAG